TGTAACATACAGCAAGATTTAGTTCAAAATATATCACATAGAACAAGTAAAAGGGGGTCATGTATATCAGCTGCATAAAAACATATTCCGATCTTTTGGACCATTCAATTATTTGAAGCCAGCCCAAATAAACGTTTCTAGACATGCTCCAAATGTGTCCTCCGTTTCAACCTCATGTTACAAAATATATGGAAGTCAAATTAATAATCTAAGATAATTGGGAATTATGGACAAAAACGCAAATACAAATGGGCCTTAATTGTCAATAATATTATAACCAGTTAAAGTTTTCACAAAAAAATTGCCTAAACAAAACGGATCAAGACCTATGAGGAATCTAATTCATTGCAAATTGACAACCACCCCAAAATATAAACTGAAAAGGTGGTGGTATTAGATTAAAAAATAAAGAGAATCTTCCCTCGACAATCTTTCAAACATATAGCATTCACAATACTAAAATTCAAATATAGGGTTTATTATCATTTCCAAATGGTTGTTTTGCTATAAAGTATCATGTACGATGGTTAAAGAAGTAATTGACTCCGCAACACAGTGATGGCTTGGTGCAAGTTACCTATGCAAAACCCATTTTTTGTGGCAAGTCCTTTCAATGTCATTTGCAGGTATGACTTCATATTGGTGGGTGAAAGAACGATGTTCCTATCCCAAATAACAGCTTCAAAATCAGTCTCCATAAAGTCAAAAACAAGATGCAACTTCCCTTAATGAGAAAAAACATCAATCAACTCTATTATATTTGGATCCTTGAGGTCTTTAGTTAAATTTATTTCTATAATTCTTTCTGCTTCCCAAGGCAGATTTTCTTTATTTCAACAGCTTGTTTGTGTCCTCATCAAGAATTTTAGGTTAAATTAAACATATAATATCAAGGTCATAGACCTGTTCTCTATCATCATGTTTATGATCGAAAAGAAATCAGGACAAAAAATGTCAATGGCCATGTGCTTAGTTGGTAAAAGGTGTAGTGCTTTCAAACAAGATGAAATTGAACCAAATATCAGAAAATATTTAACCAATTACTATTAACATTTATTGAAATCTCATAAATAATACCTAAAGCATTGCCATAACCAAATATCCTTTTTTTTGTTACAAGTAGAAATCTTTTTTAAAACATAAAACTCATAGTCTGATCCAATGATACATTTAACTAAATCACACACAATAAGGTGTTTAGAATTGTGCCTTTTAAGATCTAGCGACGTATCTGACAGGTAACTAAGAAACGAACAACAGTTTTATCTATAGTTTATCCACATACAAACACGTGTTGATCTCCAACCAGATGCTAGCACAAAACAAACCCTAATACTAACATTGAATCACAAAAAAGAAAAGGTTTCTTTTCCGTGTTTAGCTGATAGCAAAATCTAAAAGAATCAATCAAAAAAATATAAATTAATTGGCCTAACACCCTATTTATATGGACTGGTATCATAGTCAACCTATAACTCAAAATAAGGTTTGATGTTTACCTGTAAATAATTTTATAATAATCCAAAACATTAATAATTATGCTTATTTACAGATAATACCTTGTAATTATCATAATTACGTTTTAATATATACTTTATCATTATTCTTCAGGAGTAATCATTTAACTGTCAAACATGACGTTCAGGGTACTTTTAAATGGAAGCAAACGTATTTTTTTGTATTCGACCCTATAGGTTTGCACACTCCTCGGCAGTGCCCTTGTGTGACACGTATCGTGGGCATATAATAACTTACAGTTAAAATTTTTATATTTTGGATTTCTAAAAGCCATCGATATTAACCACAAGGGTGGTGTCTGATTGGTTTGCGCTTGGTTCCAAAGGTCAAAAGTACCGAGATGTCCCAGATTCAAATCCAAGGAGGAATAAAAATCCCCTTGTGGCCACGGAGGTTCAAATGCGGTGACTCTGGGCTATCTGCAAAGCAAGTGGCGCATTGGGATTAGTCGGCTCGCATAACGGGTTGGATATCCAGGTTAATAAAAAAAGCCATCGATATTTTCATAGGTAAACAATGGTACAAGATAGCTTTTGGTTATATTAATTTAATTAATTTACAACCTTTTGATTTCTGACTGTCATAAAATATTGAAGAGATTCTGTTATGTTTTGTGAACATTTTTCATGGAATGGAGGAAGAGGTGTCCATCTTGATGGTTCACATCGAGGTGTTAATGAGGATATACTGGTGAAGGTCTAAGTGGTGGAGAGGTAAGTTGAGGAAGACGACATGTGTTGATGAAGGTTGGGGAAGACGAAGGAACCCAATAAACATAATCGCAACCCGAATTGTTTGTTTCTAGTAGTGGTCAGAGATGGGACAAATGGTGACCAAAGATCATACGGGAACCAGAAGGGGTCGTTGAAGTGGAGAGGTAGGTGATGAATTGCAGGGAAGAAAAAAAGGAGGGGTTTAGGGTGAGGTTTTTTCCTTCTCATATTTTATAATATATCTTCTAATTTTTAGTAGAAAATTAACAAGATAGTTAAAATGACCAAAATACATTTTATTTAACTGAAGTTAACTTAAAACTTAACAAACATTAGTAAGAGGGTCAAAGAGACAAAATCTGAAGGATTTTGCAAACATTATAGGGACAAAAACAAAATTTACTCTAATATTATTTAGAGTAAATTACATTTTTGATCCTTTCTTTTCAACTAATTACAACTTTGATCATTATGGTTTCTATTTTGGTTTCCTTTTAGTCCCTGTGACTAACTCCAATTAAAAAGGTAAGTTTATTTTGTCTGTTTCCTTTTTTCACTAGACCATTGAGCAAATTAAGATTTTCATCCCTCTCGTTTGTCTTTTTCCATATTTCTTTTTTTATTTTTCAATTTTCATTTTATATCTCTTATTATATAAATTAATTAATAATAATTTTAACTAAAAATACATTAAAAATACGTATTTTATTTTATAAATTGTAGCTTTATAAATTTTTTGTTAGTACCTTATTGAATATTTTTTAATTTTTTATGCGATACATCTGATATATATCTGCAAATCCATCTATATTAATTTAAAAAACACTTTTTATTTTAAGATGGGTTAAAAAATGTATCATTTTTTTTCTTATTTATGTAGATGAAAATCGAAGTTGATACATTTTTTATATAAATAAACATAGATAAATTTCGATTTTCATATTCTATAAATAAGAAAAAGTGACACATTTTCTGAACCCTACTTAAAATATAAAATATGTTTTTAGATTAGGGGCTGTTTGTTTGGCTCTTAATGGTTACATTAAGAGGAAACCTCTTACTCGGTAAGAGGCAGAGACTGTTTGACAAAAAAAATGAACCTCTTAATGGTTACAAAAGCCTCTTAACCATTTTGTGCCTAGGACTCCACTAAATGGTTCGGATCAAACTTGTTCCAAGTTTGCCCTTCCCACCCCTCTCTTCCAGCAGCTCTCTTCACGATCTCCATCTCCTTCCCAAATCCCACGGTCTCCTTCCTACGCCTGCTTCCACTGCCTGGCTGGAACCCTAAGAGGAAAAGTTAGAACACTATTAACAGAGATTCCACATCCAATGTGATATTTTCACTTATGAAATCCTCCTACGCCTGCTTCCACTGCTTGCTTCCACTCCTTCGTACGCCTGCTTCATATGTGATATTTTCACTTATGAAATCCTCCCCTTCAACAATGGCGGTTCCGCATCCAAAGCTTCCAGTTCCAATCAATCGCGACGTCTGTGATTACACGGATAACGGTTACGTAAATTTGGTAAAACCATTAGAGAGAATGAATTGGTGAAAGTGAATTTTCAGAACGAAACCCTAAATTGATTGTTGTATAGATAAAAGATAATTAGGGTTAGGGTTTAAGGAAGGAGATTTGACCTGGTGGTGATCGATTTTTGTGGCCCTGTTCTTCCAAGTTAGAACGATGACCTCGGGGATGATTCCGATTTCGGTGATGGTGATGAGGTTTTTTGTCTTGGCGATGTACAAAGGTTGTCGATCCCCGGCGAGACACGAATCACCGTCCGACAAGTGTTGCCGACTGGTATGTCGTCGATTGCTTCCTGCACCGTCCTGCACCACCGTCATGCGCCACCGTCTTGCGCTTGCCATCTTTTCACAGTTTCTTTCTTCTTGTATATTTCAATATTTTGTAAAACAAATAAAATATTAAAATAAAAATATTCAGATTATCAAAATCAAGGAGGGTTTGTTTGGTTGTTTTTCATTAATAGCATAATATGAAATATTGTTTTGAACAAATAATGTTATGTTGTTGGATTAATATAAAATATGTAGTTATATTTACAAAGTAATTGTTTTATTTAGATATCTGCCAAACAACTATATTTCATTCAGTACTAAATCACACAGAGGGTTAAAATGGTAATTTGTTATCATTCAGAGAACATTTACCAAACAATCATATTTCATTCAGCACTTAACCATTCTGACCTTCTTAACCATTCTGACTACTTAACCATTCTGCACCAAACCATTCAGCAACTACCAAACAGCCCCTTAGTGTAGATAGATTTTGGATAAACTAAATAAAAGTTTAAAAATATTTAGAACTTAACTTATTTTAAATGTACAAACAAGACTTTTTAATAGTGTAATTTACAAAATAAAATATGTATTATGTAATTTTAATTAAAATTATTATTAATTAATTAATATAATAAGGGGTATAAAATAAAAATAAAATGTTAGGAAAGACAAAATAAAAAAAAGACAGCCATAAAAACAAAAATTGTAATTTATTCTATAATCTAATAAAACAAAGAAAAAAAAAGACAAAAATCTTAATTAACCTTTTTAATTAGAGTTAGTTAGAGAACTAAAAGTGAAACAAAATGGTAACTATAATGACTAAATTTGTAATTAATTTAAAATAGGGACTAAACTTGATAGTGAGTAATAACATAAGGACCAAAAATGTAATTTACTCTGTATTTTAGATAAGGATCCGTTTGGGTTCGGTTAGAAACATGTTGAATGTCGAGACTTGAGACGCATTTCCCAACCAGTGGCACATTCGGACCTCACCTCATCGTGGCCGCTGCTTTGCCTTCGCCGTCGCCGCTGATTTGCCGTCTCCGTCGTCGTTCCGGCGATTAGATTATTTAGAGGCTTTCGTTGTTACTTGCTCCATCGAAGTAGAAAAAAGCAAAACAATAGCATCGCTGCCATGAAAGGTCTTTTCAAGTCCAAGCCTAAGACACCGGTTGACCTCGTCCGTCAAACTCGCGATCTCCTCATCTTTGTCGACCTCAATCCCGAAACTCGCGAAAGCAAACGCGAAGAAAAGGTTTTGATATGATTTTCACTCTGTTTGATCTAGGTTAACTGTACTAAATGCTGGAAGCAAAATTCTTTTTTGTTGGATGCAACTTTTTTTTGTATAGATCATTGTGTTATATAAGATGATTTGATTTTTGTACGAGCATGGATTCAGATATGATTGCTACTATATGTGTGCTTGTTCGCGTTGTGTGTGGGTTGTTATTTTATTGTTGATGTTACTTCCATCCGCTGCTTGACTTGCTTGTTATTGAGTAGATTGTAAAGTTTTGATTTATGGACTGAATAGTTTCTGAAATCGTACTGAATCAGGGAATGGTGAATTATTAGTAAGTCTTCTCGTACATTGATATGCATTGTTTTGTGCTTTTGATGTGTAAGGTTGAGGTTGCCATACGTAGTTTGGGTTGCTGTCTTCTGACACAAAAATTGAAACTAGGTCATTTGGTTATTGATACTAATGAGTTCAATAATGGAAGTTGGAATCTTATATGAAATAGCAAGTAGTCTTTCATGGTAAAACCGATCCTCAAGGATGGGATGCTAATTATGACATACCACCTTAGTTTGAGAACAAAAAAAATACAATATGATATTAGGAGGTTAATGTGCAAAATCTAAAAAGTGAATTTCATATGACCTTATCTGATATTTAAGCAATTATAAAGTACCTTGAAAGTTATAAATACCATACATATTGTTTCCATAAGCTGATAGATCTGATCTATTTTTATATTTGAGATAATAAACATTGACTTCTTTGAGTCAGAATCTATATTTAAAAATTTGGAACCATTGCTAGGATTGTAGTCTTCTATCTTGCAAGAATACATATGCATGATATGCTAAGCAGTTAACACGGTAGATTGCAGAAATTGCGGTCGGGACCTTGATTTGCAATCGTGGTTTGGTGGTTATCATGGTGAGATATATATATATATATAACTTCATATATTGTATGCCTAATACATATTAAGTCAAACAATTCAATTTAAGTTTCGAACCGCACAAGTGAGGGTTAGGAGTTGAAGTTGAAGTCGAACTCAGAAAGACTGAAAGAGGGCAGAAGTTAAAGTCAAGGAGTTGGAGTTGATGAGCGGAGTCGATGGCAGAAGTTGAAGTCGAGGAGTAGGACTGTAGGAGTCAATGAGTGGAGACTGTGGAGTTGAGGACGGAAGTTGAACTAAGAAGTTGAAAGAGGGCAGAAGTTGAAGTCGAGGCTGCAGTGATCGAATCGAAGAGTGGAGTCGAGGAGTGGACTGTGGAGTCGACTAGTCGAGTGGCTGGAGTCCTTCACGTCTTCATGATTCATTCCATGAAATTGAGGGAGGGATACTGGAGTATGGACTTAATTTAGGTCAAAGTAAACTCTAAAAAGCTATGACCCATGGATATTAAAAAGAAAGTCCAAAATGTTCTAAAAACTTAAAGGCCCATGGACTTAATTATAGCGGTATAGCGGACCGCTATTGTAAAACCAAATCTCAGTCCAATAGCGGTGAATAGTGCCGCTAGTTGCGGCACGCTACAAACCACCGCTATTTTGGAACCGCTATTCTCTTCAGGACCCCAATCCGCTATTGCACCGCAATTAACTGCATAGATGATATGTGGATGCTAGGATTCTAGAATTCGATAAATTCTTGTGACACCGGGGTGCGTATATGTATTTGTATATGTCTCTGTGTGTGTCAGTCTAAAAAAGATCAATAACAGAAAAAAAATATATAGTTCATATGTTAAATCATGAAATAATCACTTACTCAAACATAACTCTTATATGCTTTCACTATCTAGTCGATTGAATAAAAGAAAAATAATTCATGGTGCTGTCTTCCTTCATTCATGTATCCATAAAACTTTACTTTAGATCTTTTAGCTTTCATGTCTACCTTCTTTGACAAAGATTGATGAAATTCCCCTTTTGTATTCCCCTCTAGTTATGGTAAAGAATTTGGGGATGTGGCTAGTCCCATAGGGGGTGTGCACTCAACTGCACCCTTGAAGCACCCGATGCTAGGATTTGGCTTGGCAACCATACTTTTAGGACTGTCAATTAGACTCGCATCAACTGCGACAAATGTGGTGATCAGATATTCATGATAAACAAGTCAACTTAATGTGAAATAAATTACCAACCATAATAATTTTTTTTCCTGTTTAACTAGTATAAGGTTATGATCTCAGCATCTAACATAATACGGCTATTGATGATTTTAAAATTTAAAGACTAGCACTTTCTCTTTTTAGCCATGCTCCTAGCTGTAAACTCAAGTATTGGTTTGTAGCTGGATGATGCTACTGATCTACAAGGCCTTACAACTATTCTTCTCCCCGCCCCCCATCCATGTATTGGTTATAATTAGTCATATCATCTTATTCTTTTTGTTTCTTTTAGCTTTAGCATGCTAACAGATATTAATTATTGGAATATAAGTTGAACTAACCTCATAGCTATAGAATATACTGGCTGTCGATTTTATCCATACCAGGGTGGTTCGTTTTCCTTTTCTTCTTACATCTTTCTCTATCTCTAGTTGCACTCCTGGGTTTAGTAGTTTAAGTTCACAGACACCAATGCTATCTGCTAAATGCATAAAGGCAATGAATTTTTACGTGTGGATTGAAGCTAGTATTTAACTTTACATAAAAAGTTTTGCCTTGCCAGTTTGCAGAGTTGGGAAAGCTTCTTCGTGAGCTAAAACAAATCCTATATGGGAACAGTGAAGCTGAGCCCGTCTCGGAGGCTTGTGCTCGACTGACTCAAGAGTTCTTTAGAGAAAACACGCTTTGTCTGTTAATAATTTGTCTTCCAAAGTTGAATTTAGAAGTAAGCATCTTTAGAACTTGGTTCACTGATTCTTGAGCTCCGCATTTATTGTTAAACAATGATTCTAGTTTATATATTCATATAACCCTGTTCAAGTACAGTTCCAACTTCCAAGTTTTAAATTGCCAACAGATTCTCTTAATATCTGAAAGTTCAATATTATATTTGGCAGGCTCGTAAGGATGCTACTCAGGTTGTTGCCAACCTGCAACGGCAACAAGTACAATCACGTTTGATTGCATGTGACTACTTGGAGGCAAATATTGATCTGATGGATATTTTGGTATCAGGGTAAGGTTGCAAAGATGCTTATATATGGTAGTTGGGTGCCTTTTTGTATTGATTTTATCATAGCTGAGCTGGTTCTAGATGATAGTATTTGATTTCTATGACTTGTCCTTGAAGGTGCATTCTCTTGCTTTGCATGCATGTTTGGAAAGTAGGTTCTGATAATTAAGAAAAGATGTCAAGTTAGGTAGGTACAGATGCTTGTTGACCAAGGGTCCTGAAGTCTATGAGAACGGAGGTCACAACTAGCATCATTTAAGGTGATAAGGATGATGGTTGTAGATTACAGCACTTCATGCAGAGGCAAAATCAATGCTGAGGAGGTGAGGTCATGGTCATTCGGGCTTTAAAATAATGATGACAACATGCCTTCTATGATCTGTCTCAAACTAGTTGAGGTCGGCTAAAAACTTCTCTTTGGTTCCTCTTACCATATCTTTAACTTCAGTGAATCCCCCAGTTCTACCAATATGATCATAAGATCATTAGCATCTACTCCCCTAGAGTTTCTCATCAACTGATAGCCTCTAACAGTTTCTTGTAGGTTTTTTAAGTCGTCTCTTGGTAGACTCATCCAGGCCTGCTTGAGGGGAATATGCACTAACACCATTCAGAAACAACCGCAATTACTATCAGTTTGAGAACTTCTCCTTCTAGTATTCAAACATAGAAGTACTTAATTTTGTCTATTTCATTAGCTTCTTCACCTACCTGCTTGGTTTCTTGGACCCTAGATTTTCATTCTTCTCCTAGTTAGGGTATTGACCAACTGCCTCAGTTTTCCTTTTTTGTTTTTGTTGTTATTGAGGATCCCACTACCTGTATGAATTCCATTCTCTTGAATTAGCTTCCTTGACACCTATAGCCATAACACCACTAGGGGCATGACTTTTAACAGAACCATCAAGATCCAATGTGGTGCCCGCATGAGGATTCAAGCATGTGCCAACAGGACTTCTTTGGGGCTTTCTTAGAGGAAATGGGTAATCAATTAGCTAATACAAGATAGACTCCTGATGTTTGAACTGAATTTAATGATGGTACTTCACTGCACCTGATGGACTACGTGGGTGAGTTAGGCTAGGCTTTGTTCTTTACTCAACTGTTCCTTGTTTACTGAGAATCAAGATCGTTCCTCTCTATGATACACTAATCTTGCCATGGGGTGTCGTTACTAAGGATATTTATTTATTGAAGGTATTATTAAAGGATTCTAAAAAACTAAGGGTCAGTTTACCCTTTTGTCAAATGCTTCTTTGGCTTTCTAGTTCCAAGAACACCACTGTATGCGTGCTTCCATAGAATTGCTGGAAGTTCTCACATTTCTTATGTTCCCTCTGTTCCCTTCCATTACATTGGAGTTCTCATGCATATTAGTATATTACGTTGGACTTATTGGATCCTTAGCAATTCATGCGAGGATTGGTCATTGGGGGTCTCTAGAAATTCCGTTTTATAAAATTTCTGAGGGATCAAAAGGGGCCCAAGAAGGTTCTGTTACTAAGATGTTTACTTCCATTGTAGGTAGAGAATTCGTTGACAGTTTCTTATTAAATTGCATTATCACCTGTATTCAACAATAATGTTGAAAAAGAAAGGGAAATTGTGGGTTAAAAGATGATGTTGATATTGCAGCCACAAGTGCAGGACGATTATCGTGTTTTGGCACATAATGCCATCGCAAACATGAATATGTAGCATCTGCCTTGGAATGAAGGGAGCGATTTTCTGTGATCTTTTATCTGTATGGTGCTCTTCAATGTGTTTGATAAGTAGAATGGCTTTTTTGTGCCCCCATGACCCTGACTGACCCCTTATCCACTTACAAAATTTCTTTTTATATTTTTGTGTTTGGTGTTGTGCATTAGTACAGATCAGATATTTTATTTTGCACATGATTTGATTTTGACTATTGTACATTTTCCACATATAGTTACGAGGACACAGATATGGCGTTGCATTATGGTGCAATGCTGAGGGAATGCATACGTCATCAAAGTGTTGCCAGGTGCGTCATTTACTACCATCATACCTGAGTAAGTTAAGTGACATGTGGATTACGTGCATGGGATGAGATTTGTGTCATATCTCTAAAGAAAGCTGAAAAGAATCTATGCAGATATTAATGTAACAAACCCAGATTTTTTTTGTTGATGTCTAAGCGTCTTTCGGTTAAAGTTGTTTTGAAGATAAGGATCTGTTTATAAGTCTCTGGAGGCATATGTTGTAATGCGTTGGTGATTGATCTTCTCTTATGGAAAGAAAGAAGATTTTCAGAGGTATGTGGAATGCTATTATTGTTTTACTTGACCATTTGAGTTTCATTGATTTTGTTCGCAGGTATGTATTGGAGTCAGAGCATATTAAGAAGTTCTTTAATTTCATTCAACTTCCAAATTTTGATATTGCTGCTGACGCAGCTGCAACATTCAAGGTCAAATGCGTTAGACCTAACCATAATATTTGACATTTATAATTTGTGTGTGGTATGTGGTATATAGTTATGTATATTGGCTGGGTTTATTATGCTTTGTGCAACCATAAACCAGCAATGTGGCCTGTTCTTCTGCTGTTGTATTCTTATTTGTTGAGTTTCTATCTACCAATTTGTAGTTTCAAAACAGAATTTCCACCATGAGCACAGGTTTTAAGAGGTGCATGACACCACAATATTGTGGATATGATTTATAATATCATTGATATTTGAAACCCTCATTATAAAGTTTCCTTTTGTATGTCGGCTTTTGAAACACAATCTACATCAGTTAAATACAATGTTGCTTAAATTGTTATGGCCGGAGGCATGACTGAAAATTTGTTTATTTTGTTTCTTTGTAGAGGCGCTATGGATCTTGTGCCCTTTGCAAAGTGTCAATTCATTTTATATATGCAGTACCATGCCTTAGTATTGACCATTGTTGTTGCAGGAACTCATGACGCGACACAAGTCTACGGTGGCGGAGTTTCTATCTAAAAACTATGATTGGGTAGGTGATATTTGTCTTATTTAAATACTTCCTGAAATGCACTTTGCTTTAAATGAAGATGTTATATATCATTACAAAAGCAGTATTATGGAGCTTATGTTCACCTATAGGTCATTGTCGCAACAGGCTAGATTTTTGGTAACATATTTTTAGGATTTTGAGGTACCGAAACGTATCAATATGATTGCGTAGATGTAGAATACCACATTTCAAAGTTCAATGTTATGAACAACACACAAATGTCATATATTATTGAGCTTAACATAATTTGGCACTATAATCATGTTACTCTGTTTAGTTTTTTGCAGAGTACAACTCAAAGCTTCTTGAGTCACCGAATTACATAACCAGAAGGCAAGCTATCAAGGTGAGGCCAACTTTTTACTTCCTTTTTTTTTTTCAAATTTTCTTCATATCATACTTATAAGGTTTTGGGCCTAGATGCTTGCTTTGGTTCCTTTTAAAATATTTTTTAGTAATTGATTTGTTGTATTTCATTATGTTTTAATTAAAAAAAATTAGTATTTCTTATTACCATTATATGTAGCATCATTCAACTTTATTTAAATAGCAGCATCATTCAACTTTATGTTTTAAATACTGTAAAAAGATTGAAACCATAGTCTGAGGACCCATTTACTAATCCCTTGCTGGATTAGGTGAGTTGTTTACCAAAAAAAATTGTTCTCTTACCAGGAGTCCATTGCTGACCAGGCTCTTACCCTGGTAAGCAACTGATAGGTTTCTTACTGGAGTAAAAGGCCACCATCCATGCATACCCACTGAACCTCACCCCTATTCCTTATTGCTTCTCGTTACACATAATTTTGTCTTGAATGAACTAATCCTTTTTATAATAATTTGTTTTCATATATTATAAATTTTTTTTTATAGAAAATAAATTATTCAGTTTTATAAAAGGTAAAAAAAATATGATGTTAATATAGTATGTCTCATTTTTATAAGATATATATATATATATATATATATATATAATATTCTATGAAACATTTGGTAAATAATAATTTACAGTTGGCAGTTACTCCAAACAGAGGGGTATAATCGTCATTTTAATTTGTTCAATGCTTAATCCAAAACATTATGTAAGCAACAACTTCCAGCCGGCACTTGCCCGTATTTTTTAGGTAAACATCCCCTAAGTCAGCTCACAGTTTGGTTGTGGCTTTGGGCCCATATAATTGTTAAACCTGTAACATGTGGGTTGATTAAGGTGTGAATCCCACCAAATCAGCCTCTGTGAGGAGAAGATTACATACAAAGACTACCCTCTCCAACACTAGCAAATCCAAGGGAGTTTTGATGCAGGTGCTTCCCTTTTTTTAAAGTGTAGGGGTCAGTGACACTACACTTGTTAATTTTTGTATAATACAAGCATTTGTCCTATAATTCATATACAAACTTTGTGCTGGATGGTGGTTTGTTACCATAGGAGTATCCTTTAAACTTTCAAAGAAAAATGTCAATCCTACTCCTCACTTGGTTCCATTTACGATTTCTCATTATTGACCATCGTTGATCAGATCTATGCAACGTGGTTTTCAAATATATCTCATTGTGTAGCTAGCACTTGATTAGAGGTGGATCCAGAATTTTTTGTTGCTGTCAAAATAATTACTGTAATATGAAATAAAATAAAAAGTAATTATAGTGTAAAACACTAAGAAGTCATATCCAATTTCAAAGATCTAAAGTTAGGGTTTCTGTTTTCCATCGAAACTCAAATTTAAGCATCTATGGGCCATTGCAGCCTCTCAGGTTTCCAGCAATGATGCCTTATGGTGGCACCTTTAAGAATCGTAATTTTTTTTCAATACGTCAGGAGAATTGATTGGTCTACATAGATCCACCCCTGATCTTGGTTGCTGTGAAGAACTCTTGCTTATTACTCCCCCTTCCCAAAGTAAGTGTCCATATTTCTATTTCGGTTTTAGAAATGTGAAGAACTATGGGCCTACTTTCTTATTCTACCCTTAATTATGAGATGTGGAAATTCATTACTTCGTATATTATCAAGGATAAAATTGTCATTTAATTAATTAAAAAGTGATTAGCTACACATCTCTAAGACCGAATGCCTTTTTTGTTGAAAGGGAGGGAGGGAGTACTGAGCACAGTACCAGTTACAAAGGTCTAGTGTGAAACTACTTGCAAGGAGTTGTAATTGCAACATTTATTCAAATACTAGATGTTTTTTTATTATGCATCTGTCAGTTTCTCTGAACTAACAATGCTTCAAAGTGAGTGATTGTTGTCGCTGATAACCTCCTATTTACGGTACAGCTCTTGGGAGATATGTTGCTGGATCGATCAAATTCTGCTGTCATGACTCGATACGTGAGTTCGAGGGACAACTTGAGAATATTGATGAATCTACTCAGAGTACTGTTCTGTCCCTATATACACACATCAACACTTGCATATCGAATCATAATATGGTAAAGATGGATCTTTGTGCAGGAGTCGAGCAAGAGCATTCAAATAGAAGCATTTCATGTTTTTAAGGTACCACACTTTGATTCAACGTTTCAGAGATATTGTCTCATTTTGAACGATTAATTCTTTTTTGCAGTTATTTGCAGCCAATCAGAGAAAGCCAGCAGACATCATTGGCATACTTGTCGCTAATAGGAGCAAGCTTCTCCGCCTCTTTGCTGATTTTAAGCCAGATAAAGGTCAGACATGCTTTCATTCATTTTGCTATAAAGATATCCTCAACCCTAGTCCTGTTATTGATTAAAAATTATTCCCATGGTAATATATTTCGTCAACCTATCCTCGTTTTATAGCCATACTTGTATTACGAGTTTATTGAAAAAGTGTCATTTGGTATGGCCATAAACTAGCTTATAAGTGAGTTTTTTGAAGAGCTACTTCAGATAGCTTTTCAATAAGCTCCGTGTGCTCTTTCTTTTAAGAGTAAATTCCATTCTTTGTCCGCGTGTAAAAACACGAAATCTCACTAAATAATTATGGATCACTTTTCAACAAGCTCTAGGTGTTGGAATTCTTCTCTCTTTTCTTATTTTTAGAAGAACATAAAGAAAAGAAGTTAAATGGCTAAAATGCCCCTCAAAGTTAACATACTTAGCATAAGTTGTTTAACAAAGTTAGGGCAAGAGATTGAAGACGTTATAAGATGCATACCACAAGGATGGAATCCATAATTATTTAATTTTAGGGATGCACAACGTGTTTGGTTTAAACAAAGGATATAATTCATTTTTTTTTTAATTATGCCCCTTAGAGTAATTTTTAGGTTATTTATATATTATTATGCAACAGTTTTAGACTAGTTTATTTGCTAACAACTAGTTTGAGTCCAAATGTTGATTTGAGGGTGATAGAAAGAAGTTGTATTTTGGGGTGATGCAGAGGATGAACAATTTGAGGCAGATAAAGCTCAAGTGGTTAGAGAAATTGCTGGACTTGAACCCCAAGACTGATCAAACCTAATCAACCCTCGTCCTGGTTGTGGTTGTGGTAAAAGTTAATATTATCTTCATTTTTTTTTAGAATTTTAAAAATGTTAATCAGTAGTTTATAGCCATCGCATTATTCTTTTCCAAGGTTATCCTTTGTGACAAAAATAAACTAAATTATATCTATAACAAAAACTTTATGCCAAAACAAAAACTTGTCTCAGCTGTTACGAGGTAGAGACCAAGTGTTGTCACCAAACAGAGATGGGGGCAAGATTGGTACATTATTAAACTATATATGTCAAAGTAACATCCTAATCCTAAAGCCTTGTATGATCTTTCACTGCCTATTTCATTTGTGTCCGTCTTGTCTGGTGTAGAATGATTAAATATGTATAACAAATATATGTTGAACTAACCAATTTAGCAATTTGTAGCAATTACTTAAAGTTCAAACAAAAAAAAAAGAATGATTTAATGATTGGATAATTAAGTCATTAAGTTTATTCAATAAAAAAAGTTATCCTTTTTAGCAATTTGTAACAATTGCTTGAAGTTTAAAAAAAAAAAGTTTCATGTTATATGGTTGGATAAATAGGCCATGAAGTTTATTAAATGAAAAAGATGAACAAGGTACATGAATCAAGAATTGAGCGGCGTATGTGGTTTGCATTTTGTTACGAATTGGTTCCCTGACACTAACATCATTAAGGATGCATTGGTACATGGGACGGGACATGACATGATAGAATAAAACTCACTGTCTCATGTTTGATGTGACATAGGACATGTTAGAAACTCGTTGTCTTACGTTTGACGTGACATAGGACAGGTACAAGCATTGTAAGACAAGGTGGGACAAAAACGACTTTTTCTTTTGTTCCACCATAATATGTGAAACAAGATGTGACAAGGATGAGATTGCTTAACTTGGTATCGCTTTAATATGATATTTGTTTTAGCAGTCACTACCGCCCATTCCCAACATCACCATCACCAACGACCATCGTTGGCCACCTCCTCCATGACCACCACCCACCACCACCTCTACCTTCACAACATCGGCTACAACTACTTCATCCACCATTGTTGGCGGCCACCATCCACCATTACCATGTCCTCCTCAATTTACCGTCGTCTACCAGCTATCATCACATCCACCTCTACCAACATTGTCACTGCAACAACCTCCACCACGCCTCTTGTCTACCATCTTTACAACACCCATAGTCACCATTGTCTACCACCACCACCATTGCTTACCACTAACACCGTCCACCACCGCCTCTACCTCCACCAAATCAACTACAACTATCTCCTCCATTACTGCCAATCGTCGCCACCAACGTTGTCCACCATCTTCACATCGTCTAGAGTCACTGTCATCCACCAGTCACCACTGCCTCTATCCCTACCAGTGCAACAACCTCCACTATGTAACACTCCTAAAATAGGAGATAATTTAAATTGTAGAAATAAGACAGATTAAAAGCTAAATCAAATACGATCACCCAACAAAAGGGAATTAGTATGAGAGTTTATAAATAATAATGATAGATAGCTAACAACCTATTAATCTAAATCAATTCTAGATTTAGATTACAACCAAGTGTCGCTGCAATCTACAAAAGAAAGCTATTAATAGTAACTCTACAAAAGACTTCCAAAATGCGATGACCCAAAAAAGTGTTATTTAGGAGCCCCACTGCTGAGAACCCATCACTGAGAACCCTAATATACATGTCATTTAAGAAAAAATGTTAGGTTTAATGCTTAATAAGATCAAACAGTTATAGAATAAAGCTATTAAACATTAAACTAAAACATAGCTTTAAACAAGTCATTTCATTATTTAAAACGAGTTCACCCTTGGAAGGGGATAAAAACATCTCATGATGACATAGGAGACCAATTTACCACTGATAGCGTCAAAACACATAAGTAAGCACACATTTCAGTGTTATATAAGTATCAATTATGGATTAACAATAATTAAGATCAACCATTGCAAGTCTGTAACTTAATGAATTAACAAGCTCAATTCCTCCATGTCTATTACCTGTGAAGTCACCAAGTTTAACCACATTAGGTCTATACATTGAGATCTTCAAAATCCAGGTTAACCTTGTTCACTTAGAAACTACATTATATTGGTCAACGACCAATGCACGACTCCAAAAGCCCACATCATATTGTCTATGTAGATCCAATGCCTATTTCAAGTTACAGATAGGGAATATCATCACATATACATCAAATAGAAAAAACTTCTATACTTATGGATCCATTGCATTATTATCTAATGCATATAATTTTTGAGATTTACAACATATAAACAATCATGTATAAATAGTCACCAAATAGGTAAAATCTCCATTTATCAATAAGATCAAATATATGACCGTTACAAATTTAGGTTCTAAAACTCATCAGAATTTTGAAGTAATCATCTTCCATGTATATAAAATTATTCCCCACATTTATTTTATCAAGCGACATAAAGTACCCAAAAATCCCAAATTTGACCTAATTGGTCCAAAATCAACCAAATGTAAGCTACTTGAAATGGATGCTTAGAGGAAGTAAAATACAACATTTTAATATATATATATATATATATATATATATATATATATAAGTGTAGGATGAACTCACAATGCTAGGTTTTGATGAAAACCTAGAAAATCAAGAAATCCTGAGAGATTGAGATGAATTGTTGAAGGATGAAAGCTTTGATTCTTAACCTACTTTAATCATTTCCTTTAAAACTTCTTAAATGCTTCCAATGATCTTCAAGAAGGTAGCCTCAAATGCCTTTGGATCAGAATAAATGAGAGGGAAGAGGAGAGGTTTGAAGGAGAATGGAGGTAGGTGAAACTATAAATGAAGACCCCTTGAATCTCGGCTATAAAAACGATTGGGGCCAAAACAGTGAATTAGCCCGCGACCATAGTCGTGGGGCTAATCACCCATGCCAAAAACCCCTTACTCCAGAGAATAACGTGGCTCTAGCTGTCTAGGGTTCTACCATGCTCAAAATTTCAGATTTCGGTTCGTTAAATCCATACACAAACATGAGGTCATTAGCATCACATAAAAACATTAGGTTTTTTCATTGCAAAATGTTCAAATAATCCACAAATGAAGGTTTTAAAATCAAGGGTGTTACATCCATGCATCCGTTAGTTCATAAGAATCTTACAAACCGAATAAAACATAGTTTTTCTTTTGTACGAACCAAGTTTTTTGAAAACTACTAACTATTATATCAAATTCTTCATTCGTATTTGGTACTATTATATATACGTATATACATATATGTATTATGCATATGCAAATCGTGTAAAAATATCTATAAGTTATATTATTTAAATATCACTTGATTTGTGTCATTTATGATTATTTATAATATGTAAAATCATGAAACAATTTTTGAGATAACTTGTCTAGTCATGTCCTATCAAGCCCAAGTCATACCAAACACCAATACAACTTATTTTGTCCAATTCTGCCCTCATGTCATATCAAGTTCTTTTCAAGCATGTCTATGTATCATTAACTATTAACTAAAATACTTTCTTAAAGTCCCAATCATATGCTACCATTTTAGTTAATGATACTAAAATACTTGCAATATGTAGATAGCGTTAGCAGTATGCCCATATAATGCATCCGATGTAAAATTTATCGTAAATGGAAAATAAAGAGCCTAGCTCAGTTGGCAAAAAGGTGAAACAACTTTGTTCAAATATTTTATACCCTAAATTCTTGGTTTGTTTTTCCAAATTCATTCAACGTAAGTGAATGTTTTTCTCAGGAGGCAAAAACTCACTCATATAGCTTACATTGTTTATAGTATACAACCACGAAGAAGATTCCGGAACATAATATGTTAAGTAGAGTATACTTATCGATCAAACTATCTAAATGGGTTGTTTTAAAAATCAAAAATTAAGAAACTATCAATAATGAGGGATATCATTTAATACAAACAAATTTAAATAGAGTGCAAATGAATTGCAAATTGTTGTCTCACATATGACTTGAACCTCATGTACTAATTAAAACTACAAATTATAGATGAATGATAATGTACTTGTAAGGAATGATAATGAGCATTAGTTTCTCTCAAATATCCCCCACAACCTTTTAGCCAGCAAATTATATATGTACTGTAAATGATCAACACATTTATCATACAGAGTAAGATTCTATGTTATCAAAATGATAGTGTAGGCAACCAGGTAAGAGTTATCACCCTCACCTACATGGAAAGAATGTCGATTGTTGCCACGCTCACCCGGTAAGACAATTGACCCTGTAAATGTTTGATAAAATACGACTTATTTTGCATCTATCAATCAATATTCTTATTTTGGAAAGACAAAAAAGCAAGGTTATAATCATTTGTATAATTGTGCTATCTAAGTGTAAGGGATTGCACACCAATGATCATTGTAATTGGAGTAGATATCAAATTGTCCAAACACCAACAATGTAATGTTAAGCCCATACCATAATATATTTGTAGCACCTTGCACAAGAGCTTATGGAGTTGATTACCATT